AGTTGGGCAAGGTGATCATTAGTAATCTAAACAATCCGTCCGCACAGGTTCTAAGTGCTGTGTTGTACAGTCGCTATGCGGAAAGCCCTAGCTCCTGGTGCCAATCACCGACCTCTGCACAGTTCGTAACTGGCATGGCAGTGAAGGATGAGCCGGGACATATCGTAGACAACTGGCAGTCATGCAGGTCCACCGCCGTCTCTCATGGATTAGTGACACATGCTTCGGGCAACCGGAAGTCACGGGGTCGGAAATCGTCAGGGGTCCGAAGAAGGCGAATCACTGACGAAACCCAGAAGGTCAAAACAGCTGTCTGGTGTTTTTCCAGACGTGTCGAAACTTGCTGACTGAGAGGACTGCGCCGAATTACCTTTGAATCTACACCAAAAGTCCCACTAATCATTAGTAATCAAACTAAATCTGCTGATAAGTTTAATAGTGCGTAGCTACAAAGCGGATGAGCAATCTTCTGCTATCCGTTTCACCAAGTCTTGTATGTCAAAGGAACCCTAAACCATCACAGTTACAAGTGAATTGATACACGATTCCGGGTGCACGGAGAGTCAATCCTTGAAAGCTGGGAAATAGACAGGGCACTTTCGGCAACAACATCCTAGCAGGAAGCTAGGGGCCATTGAGTAGCTCGAAGAAGACGTCTCCCTTAAGTGGGACTGAAAAAGGTGCTTTCTACGCAATGTCATGATATATTCTCGTCCGCCGACGGGGACAGAGTGCCTCCGAACGAAACCGTTGGGTTAACCATAATCCTGTAGTGTCTCGAGGATGCAACTATCACAATTCAAAAAGATACGGTACTACAAAAGTTGATGGCATGATAAAGCAGGCAAAGGACTAATTCCGTTTGTACTGCAAGAACAGTCACAGCACGCCCTGCTCCCCATGTCCTGAAGACCATTGCTAGGTCACTGTGAGAATTTAACAGTAGAAACAAAAGGGTTTTTCATCTCATCCAAAGTCATACGCGAAGCGGATTTATGCTATCAAGCTGATGGCATATATGAAGTAAATTTGCATCAAACCGCGTTAAACGAAAGTGTATTTCTCGTTGACCATTCAATAGCACTGGCCAAATGTCACTGCATCAGCTCTTGGTTACTCTGATTACCGATAGCCCCTCATATCCTAGCATCACCAGTGAAAAAGGAGATATACAAAGCGACTATATGCGCGATGCACTTAATGAACACAAGTGATAAGCGCGGTCTCAATGTTGAAAGTTTCGCAAAGTCGTGATCCAATCAATCGATCAAGCAATGAGCACCGAATTCGCATCTGCAGTTGCCGAAGCGAATAAGATTGCCGATCCAGTCAAAAGCCGGATCACCAGTTCGACAGCTCTGTAGAGCATGAGGAAGGATGTGGTGATTCTGACGCTCTAGGTCACCGGAAAAGTCTAGAGAAGCGACGTGGATCTAGACCTCAATATCCGTTCTAGCGACCTAACTACCGCGTGCGAGACCATGTTTGAACGAAGCACGAAAACCACAGTAGTGATGGCAGTAATCAGGTTTGAAAACACCGGAAGGGAGGTCATTAACAGGTAAAGGCATTAATGAGTAGCCCTATAAAGCATTAAGCATATCATAATGGATTTGTGCAGACTTGGTTGTGTTAGCTTAGCCGAAAGTTGCGCATACCCTGAGTACGGTCCGTATTCACGTACGTATTCGGGCAAGGCGCTTAGTCCTCGAAAACAGAGAAGGATACGCACACGATCGAGGGGACCAGACGAGTGAGACTTAGACGCATACGAAGCAACCGGCTAAAATGATGAACACGATTACGAGACCACGGGAGTCCCAACCACTCACAAGAGACAAGACAAGATAAAGCGGACCTCAGAGAGTTCTTATACGACACACAAAGGCCGAATCACAGTTGTCAAAATGGTTCATTTTATGGGTAAAAGGAATCACCACGTCGGGCGCGTGGTTTACGAAATGACATTGTTCACTTTAGCCCAGTCGTGTCCCGACTCGGAGTGGCTATCTTGCTACGTTGTGGGGAGGAATTGAGTTCTGCGTGGTGCAGCCCACGAAATGGAGTTTGTGGAGCACTTTGGCGGGGTTACTTGACGTTCTCGCAACACAAATAACAATCTAATCCCACATGGTAGAGGGTTTGTTGTTGATACGTCAACCAATAAAATGCGATCAAGATTCGGCCAACATTGTAAATGCTAACAGCAGCGCCTTCGGGTGAACGCAATCAGCTTCGAGGAACAATGTGTGCGCAGATATAATAGCTCCTTCAACACAGTGAAAGAACCGAATGTAGCACGAGTAAATCCTGTTGGTTGGGAGATCGGTGAATATGCAACGGTTGTCAAGTCGGAAGGATGAGGCGCACTGCAGTCACAGAGCGCTGCAACACCCCGTTAGTGCTTTGCGACACTCCGCTTGGCCATCAGGTTGCACTAAACAGATGAATTTGTCACACTTGTACAATTGCTCGTCATCAGAAGTACCCCGGCACGCAGTACCCACACTTCGACGCCGCGCAAACAAGAACAGTCACTGAGCTAGGCAGTTTGACTGCAAACGTTTCCTCACAACCCGAGGTGACATCGTCAGTGCGCGTTTACGTAGCAGAGCTGCGCGGTACGAAGCCGCGTTTGCAGCCAAACTGCCAAGCTCAGCGAAAAATCAGATCATCAACTGAACAACCCGAGCTACCAACATTTACTTCTATATTACCAACAGTCGCGCTTGGGCTGGATACTGCAAGGGCCACCAGGTCCACAACGACGGCTCGCACCCGCAACCTCAGAATTACAAGGCGGGCTGGTGATATTAGGGGGCAAGGGCCGCCGATAATGAGGAAATCAGAGATATAGAAGGTGCTGATAAATTTAACGCAGACCTCTGGCTTGTGATAGCGAGGATAACATTGCGCGACATGTTCACACTCCCCCCAACACTTAGGCAATGTACCCAAAGGCTCATCCCTCTTATAGTACCCAATACACCACTCAACGAAATCTAAACTGTACTAATGCGCCATCGCCGGTCCGATCGGTTAAGGTAGCAAACCAAAGCGGATTAAAATGAACCCGTGCACCACTCCATGATGGGCGCCTAAAAGAATACCATCAGTTAGTGGGACTATAGCTGGACCTATGGTTCGCTCTCAGATGCATAAACTGGCCAGTTGGGCGGAACATTTTGAAGACCGGTTCAATGAGCTTAATACCACACTGCTGTTTGCTTACTCACCTGAACCCAAGTATGAAGTTGGTGTCACACGTCCGACTTCGGAAAACATACAACATAAGCTCGCGGTGTTCAAACGAAACAACGCTAATGGACCCGACAACCTACCTCCTATATTTTTTGAAAGATGGTTGGTTGATGTGCTGTGTGGTCCCAGTTTTAAATAGCAATTCCGTAAACTTCCTCTCGACTTCACAGTGGCCGGGGAGAAGATCAGCTTCAGGTCACTGTAGTCGGGGCAAGTTGAAATCACCTATGAGTAGGAACATCTGACGACTCATGAGGTTGCGGACATGCGGCAACCAGTCCAAACTGCGGCTCAGTGGGCTGCGATATACCACGCCCACGAGTAACTCGCAGCGTCTGAGGTGAATCGAACACCATAACTGCTCACATAGACCATCAGCGCTTTGGCAGGCGCTCACTAGTCTCACACACAAGGAAGACTTTATGTAAAGTAGAACGCCACCGCGATCATTTGATAGTCTATCACAGCGGAAACATGAAAAGCCGGTGATTTCCACTTCTTGGATGGTTACCTCGGAGTTTAACCATGTCCCAGCAAGGCCTAATACGTCTGGTCGCTGACAGCTTACAAAGTCGTACAGCACATCGCGCTTGTTCATCAGACTGCATACGTTAGTAAAGGCTACGTGCAGACCGCGGTAGGAAATGCTGGGCGCGCCTGAAGCATTAGAGACCTGTTGATCCGGATTCGTGGAGGAATCCGGGCAACTACCCGAAAATTTGCAATTCACAGATTGGATACTCCATCCTCCGGGCGTCGCTTTAGTTCAATTATAGCAGACTTGAGCTTTGCTCTGTCGGCCGGGTCTAAGTCAGCGCGCACGTGAATCTTTAGACCCTTCAGCCTATGAAGACGGGACAAGAGTAACTTGGGACTTGCTTCCTCGACAAAAGTTTCCCTCATAGGCCGACTTTTGCCCTCCATTCTTTTCCGTAGACGGGCGATCTGCTGAACTTTGAGCCCGCCCTCATTTACATCGAGTTGTCTAACAATCAATGAATGCAACTCACTTACGACACTCTGCACCAGCACAGTGCACGGTTCTCTGCGTGTGTTCATTTACCAATAATGTGCCTAGTTGGATTAAGCCACGAGGTGAACAGTCCATCAAACAGTAGAATAATAGGAGGCGTGGAAATGGAATCAAGTTACGAGTTGCCACTGGTGAATAATTATAACCCAAACGTATGCCGAATTAACATCACAAACAAGACAGTGTAGCAAGACAAAGAACAATTAAGTGTTTCTACACAAATCGGACACAACAGGTGATAGAACAGCGTACGTCCATTTGGATACAAGTGCCATTATGTCAAGAGGTCGTCTCTAACTACCGATTACCATCAGAAGTAGGGCAAAACCACAATCTGGTAGAACATCTGGCAGTGGCGAAAGGTAACCCAAAAATACTAATTACACACAAAGGGGGACGCATCGTTAACGTAGTCACGAGAAGCAACCCCCAAAATGTGGCTACTCGGTTGAGAGCAGATTTCAATAGAAACGACACTCCATTTCAATCTCCGAACGAACTCGCCTGCTGCGATCGCTTACTCTTCAAACGTAATCGCTTAGGGGAACGAAAATCAAATTGCATGTAAACATGGTCACAAAAACTACCGCTAACGCATAGTACTATGTGAGAAAGAGCACGAACCAGCAGTACATTGAGGAAAATCAGTAATGTAAACATACTTGGAATATCTAGAAACATTGAACACTCGCAAACGAGTACTCACTCAAATGTATGGAGTCAAAGTGTCGCCTCAAATCACTCTCCTGGGAGAAACGTTTGCCGCAATGCTCGCATCCGTGGGGCCGCTTCTCTGCGATAATATAGAAATATTAGCAACATTAACAAAGTGAAGAAGAAGTAACGATAATAAATGCGAAGCGCTTCCAAATCGGCCGACAACTATAGAGAGCATCAATGAGCATTTCAGTCATGCAAGAAAGTCAAAGAGATTAGGCGAAATAGGCGTTGCTCTGATGTAACTGATGGCGCCCTGGTCACCAGCGGTAGCAAACACGGTTGTGCGGTGTGCTCGACAAGGATATAAGATGAAGAGAAAGAATGCACCTAGTTGCAAACTCCACAGGACGTCCGATGGGTCAACAACGCACCAAATGTGGTGCGCGTGTCGAATTAAGAAGAGAGATTTATCGTAGAATAACCCACCATTGCGATTAAACGTAATAGTTGGGTGGAAAGAAAATATTATCGCACATGCACCATTCATTCCCGAGTGCTCAGTGGTAGAACAAGTGGAAGTTTCGCTCAGAGGTGCAATGTCTAACAGAAGACGAAAACCAGATAAAATATAAAATACAGAAGGTATGCCTATACCAAAATATATTAGTATATGTAAACATATACCTATAGCGTATGAATATACAAGTCTCATCGTGCTAAACGGATTCCGTGTTGTAACTACTAGAACAGCCACGCAAGAGCTCGAGAAACCAACTCAAAACCGATATAGTGATGGAGTTATGCACTCGGTTTGGTGATATGATATTTATTATACTGAGTTGCTGCTGGCGCCTCCCTTCTTTCTTTTCCACCTTTTTCTCTTACTCCCATCCCGGCCCCCATTACTAACCTTCCTTCTATAATTCCCAGCTTAATTGACAGCAACCGAAGTGCTACTGGAGTAGTACCGTCTGCAGCCAAAATCCCACAGCACCTATCGGACGCCTATCGGCAAAAGTCCCTTATAAGGCCACGCTGTCCCGTTGCCATGGCGACATTCAACGTCCGCACTCTAAGACAAACAGGTCAGCAGGCTGCACTCGCACGCACCTTGGATACACTGGGTATTGATGTGTGTTGTGTGTCCGAAACTAGGATTAATGACCCTAACGGGGTTTTGAATTGACTGCACCCGGCTTATCCTCTCGTTATTGGTTGCACGCATCCGGAGACGCCGATGCGACACTAACGGGTCAAGCTGGTGTAGGTATCATTCTCAGCTCCAAGGCTGAGTCATCGTTGGTTGATTGGATTCCGGTGAACAGCCGTTTATGTGCAGCCCGTTTGACGACATCAGCTAAGGTGAATTCGCGAAGTAAAACAAAACACTGTTTGTGATTTCTGCTTATGCTCCCACCGACTGCAGTTCTAATGCAGTCAAGGACACTTTCTATCACGAACTGAACACGCTGCTACGCAGTATTACTAGTTCAGATATTATAGTACTTGCAGGGGATATGAACGCACAAATAGGGCGTCTGAGCTCTTCAGAAGCCCAGCTGGGTGGTAAATATGGACCTAACGCCGAACAGACTGACAACGGCGAGCGTCTGCTGCAACTGTGTGCGGAGCACCAGTTGTTTCTTACTAGCACTGCTTTTAGACACAGTGGGCGCCGAAGTGCCACTTGGCGTCCACCTGTAGCTGGCCAGCGATGGACCCGAATTGACCACATAGCCATAAGTTACAGGTGGTGCGGTTCCATTCTTGATTGCCGCTCGTACTGGACTACCTGTGTCGACTCTGATCATGCCTTGGTGCGCTGTCGTTTCTCCATGAACTTTACCGGAAGGTGCACAAAGCGTCTCCCCCGATTGGCAACGGAAAAATTGTCCCAGCCCTCTGTCAGGCAAGCCTATCAAGAAGCACTGCATGGCGAACTCTCGCTGTCTTGTCCCAATGACACTGAACTTCAGTGGGATAGAATCTCGGGCGCTATGCACGACGCCGGAGCATCTGTTTGTGGCACTATCAGTCGTCACCGCACCAGTCACTGGATATCAGAGAGGTCCGTGAACCTGTTGGAAGCTAGAAGACACCTCCCGGCTGGTTCTGAACACAATGTGACCAGACGGGCTATTAGGCGTGAACTAAAGCAGAGTCTACGTGCTGACAAGGAAGCCTGGTGGACCAGTAGGGCTCAAGAAATGGAGGAGGCAGGAGCAGTAGGCAATTACCGGAAACTCTTCCAGCTAATCCGCACCACTGGCCCCAGAAAACCAGGCGTCAGTGAGACAATCAGAGACAACGCGGATGCGCTGATACACAACAAGGAGCGCCGTATGGCTCGTTAAGCGGAACACTTTCAAGATCAGTTCAGCTGGCCCCCTGCTCCCGGACCTCTCCCTACTCAGGTGATGCAGGACGTGCCATGGACGGTTAGCTTAGAGCCTCCGTCGGAGGTCGAGGTCCGAAACGCGATCACAGCCCTTAATCGTTTTCGTGCCGCTGGCCCGGATTCCCTACCACCTGCACTATTTAAGGATGGAGGTGAGGTCCTCTGCAGGGCACTGACCTCCCTATTCGAACGTATCTGGAACGAAGTATGCCAGCTAATTGAAGCGAATCGATTATAGTGGCAATATACAAGAAGGGCAGTCGCACAGACTGTTCGAACCACAGAGGTATTAGCCTAACGCCAGTTGTGACAAAATTACTGGCCTTGGTTATCGTTCGTCGCCTCACTGCAGAACGGGAATCTCGGATTAGAGAAGAGCAGGCCGGTATTCGCCCAGGGCGTGGCTGTATAGACCATATATTTACTTTGCGGCAGGTGCTAGAGCAGCGCCACGCATACCGCAGACCGACAATAGCTGTGTTCCTCGATTTCTAGAGTGCGTTCGACTCAGTCGATCGTTCGATTCTGTTCGAATTACTTGCGCGGAAAGGTGTTCCCACGAAATATGTGAACATCCTTCGTGCTCTATACTCGGACACTACAGGCCGCGTCAGGGTCTATGGTGTCCTATCGGATAGCTTTTCGACTACAAGTGGCGTTCGTCAGGGTTGTCCGATTTCTCCGTTTTTGTTCAATTTCGTCGGGGATTCTATCATGGAGTGTTCCCTTGCGGAATCTCATGATGTAGGCGTTGAAGTGCTGCCTGGTGAAAGATTAGTTGATCTAGATTATGCGGACGATATCGTCTTGCTTTTCGACAATGTTGAGGCGGCACAATCAACCCTGAATAGCCTATCCAGAGTGGTCCCATTATTTGGTATGCAATTCGCACCTTCAAAGTGCAAAGTGTTGGTGCAGGACCACCAGTCACTTGGTGACCCCTTGACGCTTGCTAACGAGGAACTCGAGGTGGTTGATCATTTCACTTATCTTGGCAGCTGCATCAGCAATGATGGGCGCATAGAAACTGACGTGAGCTCAAGCATTGCAAAGGCCAGAGCTGCCTTCTTGAACCTGCGTCATCTTTGGCGGCAGAAGGGAGTTTCCCTCCGTCTGAAAGGCCGTGTATACAAGGCCACAGTGAGGGCCGTTCTGCTCTATGGTAGTGAAACTTGGCCCCTTCGGTCTGAAGATCTGAGGCGCCTTCAAGTCTTTGATCATCGTTGTTTGCGAAGCATTGCTGGTGTCGGATGGCACCATCGTGTCCGCAACGATGATGTGTGTAGGCGAGTACTAAATGGTAATACTTATGCTAGCTCCCTAAAACAACAGATAGATAGTCACTGACAACTAAACTGGGTGCCGTTCGTCCGTCTCGCCTTCCAGGCTGGAGTCCACGTGACTCACCTTGTGCTTGGCTTGAGACTTTACAGGACATGGCTCGCAACCGACACCAGTGGCACGTCTGCTTCCGTCTCCTAATCGGATTGTCTGTTTAAAGTGTGTTTGGTGCTGAGTTATCTGCGGGGTAATGGCTGATTATGATGCGGGGCAGTGAAAGCCGCAAGAAAGCTTTCCCGCCGATGCCGATGTCGGCGCTGTACTGATCGACTACGGAGACCTGTCGTAAGAATGCAGTTGGATCCAAAAATGAAGTCTTATGTCAACTTTTGCGGGGGAAGGTGTTAATGGGACGGAACCAGCCAATGAGAGCGTTTTACGCTGAGGGCTATTGATTTGGCCATAAAATGAATGTACCGTTAGTTGGACGTTAAGCAAATATACTTGCCAGCCGTACGCCGGTCTCCTGCTTTGGGAAGTCGGGCTAATCAGAGTGCACGCTAGCAGCAGGTCATCGGTAGGTCAGCCGAAACTTTAACATATATTTCGTTCGACTTCTTAAATTGCGCCCCACGAGTCAAAAAGACACGCACTGGACAGGAGGTATATTTGCAGAACACTACACGGGCCGACGTGGGTATGAAAACACACAAAGTCCAGTCCCAATCATGGCTGAGGGCTAATTTGAATTTATCGATCTGAAAGAACCACGGGTCGTGTGAGGGGCATGTAACAAGCAGTAGTAACAAATGTTCTGAAACATGGAAAAACTGTGTTTTTCTTTCACCTCCAACAGCTCCCTCTCTTAAAAATGCGGGTTACCTGGGGTTCACGTAACTCTTTCGACGCGGATCCACCTAAGTCCACTTGGATCTGCGACCATGGGGGTACGGGCTTCGGCCAAGACATCAGTGTCGCCCGTACTGGTAGATGAGTCATTGACTCTTTGATCAAATTTAACTTCGTAATCCGGTTGGTTCCGTGCAACTTAACATTTGTAGAGTATACTGGGTAGATTTTTCCATAGTGTAGCAAATCATTGAGTCTGTGTTCACAGGCGATGCTTCCTTTCAGCTGCAGAGGTTCCTCTGAAACCTTTTTAACCGTTAGGATTGTAGGTTTGACTGACGATGTGCCAAGTCTTGCCCGGGTTCCAAGAGAAGTGCTCTTGAGAGCATGCAACGTTTCTGGCACCAGCGATATCGGGACATACTTGCGTTTCACTGTGGGGTATTTCCTCTTCCCTGAAAAGTGTGTACGAAATACTGCAAAAGGCGTCTCTCTCACTGTGCCGAGATACCTGTTTCTTTTGAATTTTGAGCTCGCTTGCAACCTTGGAGTATACGCGCATCTGAATTGGTGCGCCTTTTGACAATGATGATTTTTGTGGGCGCAATTTCTCACAGAACGTCTTCCATCACCGTTCCATACTGCAGTCGGGGGCTTCCAGTTCGGCACGTTTCCATTCACATTTTGGACACCAATGACTGTATGACAGGGCTGGGGTTCTTCTCTGTGTTCTGAAGTTGAAATCGTTTCTGGGTCATGATTCAAACTGGGCAGCTTGTGGTATTCAGATACGATTTCCTGGGCTGTTAACCTCGGTTCCGGTTCCCATTCCACTTGAATGTTGAGCTTTTCTGATAACAGCTGAATTAACTGCCGCTGTGATTTTTCAAACTGGAGTTGTTGCTGCTGAAGGAGGGACTGCAACTGCTCGAATGAAATAGCCATGATAATTCAACACCTCCGTCGCCAGAAATCTGTTGTGTCCCCAGGCGTTCGACTTCTTAAATTGCGCCCCACGAGTCAAAAAGACACGCACTGGACAGGAGGTATATTTGCAGAACACTACACGGGCCGACGTGGGTATGAAAACACACAAAGTCCAGTCCCAATCATGGCTGAGGGCTAATTTGAATTTATCGATCTGAAAGAACCACGGGTCGTGTGAGGGGCATGTAACAAGCAGTAGTAACAAATGTTCTGAAACATGGAAAAACTGTGTTTTTCTTTCACCTCCAACACTGTTTAAAGTGTGTTTGGTGCTGAGTTATCTGCGGGGTAATGGCTGATTATGATGCGGGGCAGTGAAAGCCGCAAGAAAGCTTTCCCGCCGATGCCGACTTATCTTTGCACGATAGCCAGCTGTTTGTGACGGAATGTTGTCTACACAAGGTGCAGGCCCCTTGACCCTGAATGTTTGCTTAGGGCATTAAGGTTTTCAGGTAAGTCACCCTTCTCTCCCTCTTGTTATTCTTTATTTCATAGGTCCTCATGGTTGTATGGCAGCGAAGCATCAGTTCAAATGGCTGATGTACTGCTGTTGATGATGATGATGATGATACGGAGTTGCCAATCACAGATTACTTTCGCTAGTTGACAGCTGTCGTCCGCAGGAAATGCGAAAGCAAGAGAAGCATCACAGGCTCTAAATCGTCAATCCCACGCCACTGCAATTTGACCGTGACCATCGCCAAATGTAAGGTGCAAACCCTCATTTCGCCATGGTCATACCCTAGTCACCTGATCCATCACTCAAATGTCAGCGGCGGCGAGCTTAAATTGGCCACCGGCTGTATCAGCGCTGTACTGCCTTGCTGGAGGTGGTTTGGCCTGAGTTGGAACCGCATTGGGTGACAAAGCTGAGGCCTCGCTGCTCGACTGGCTACCGATTGACGGCCAATGGGGTGCAGTTAGATTTCAATGCTCATGCAGGATCAACAGGTATCGTACAGAGAGGTCCAATTTGATGTGATTTCAGCCTACGCTAAACCGACTGCAGTTGTGCATCAATGAGGAGGAGGACAATGACCAATCTTGGACGCCCTTGTGTTTCTGGGTCTCAGGAAACAACAATAAATCGAAACGCGGCGCATGCTCAATAGATCTTGAATTAACGCGGTAATCATCCGGTCAGTTACAAGCGCAGTAACGTGAGGACACTTTTCAAACGGCCCAAACACACTGTAGCACGCTGCAACAGAGGAACGCAGAGGAATACCACCTAGTTGACATGTTTCAGCGGAATTTGTACCCAAAAAGTTTAGTCTACGCTGCTTGAATTCGAAGAACCAACCACATCCCGCTTCCGCAAGCGCAACGGAAATAAAAGCCACCGTTCTAGCCTCCTACATCTATGGCATTTCTGAGATGGTAACAAGATCATGAAACCGTCGTCATGCGCTGCAACTCATCTTCAGTGTGTAGGTGTGTGTGCGCAAACAATGCACAGTCGTCGGCAAACAGCAACATGCGGATAGTGGTCTCAAACATTAGGGTTCCCGTCCCGAAAGAATGAAGTTCAGTAACACACCATCAACATGTTGCTCATAACGGACAACGTATTCACAAGCGCTAAAAGTAGACGAAACCCCAGCACGAAGATAAATATCAAACAGGGCATGAGTTAAGACAGGCTTGCCTCAGACCAGAAACAACATCAAAGTTACCCGAGGTTTGTCAACTCAACTGCACCCTCGCAAGAACACCAACGTGCAGACATTTAATTAAACTTACTCGGGTAACTAAACTTACTAACTTACTAACTAAACTTACCCAACACCTACCACATTGCCTCGCGGTTCACCGCAACAAATGTATTAATAGAGTCGACAAACAGCGAGTACGATGGATGGTGTCGTTCAAGAAAATTCCGCAGCTAACGAGGCGCGAATACCATATCTTTCGTGATGCGCATAGAACGGAATCCATATTGCTATTCTGCTACATGTGGTTCAACGACCGAGCGACAACTTCACACCATGGTAATTCGTGACACATTATTTGCTTCCTTTGCTCATGTATACTGGTATCACGAGCATTCCTCAAGTCAACCAGCAACACCTCTTCAAAACACTCGCGTTGCATCAATTGGTGCAGCGCGTGAACCAATGCCAGTAAGCAGTGTTTCTGGCGGTATCTCGTCAGCTCCGGTGCATTTCCCGTTTCACAGTTGAACAAGTGCTCTCTGTGTCTCATGCAGCGCCAGTCAGTCCGCAACACACACCTTCATCTCTTGTTGCTGCAGCCCGTGCAACACAACCTAGTCAATCTTTGAACGGTTGTTCAAGATATAATCGAAGTGCTCTAGCCAGATCTGCAGTCCGCATGCAGGCAGCGACTCAAGTAGCATCCGCCAGCGTCCTTAGCGGTAGCAAGGTAGATGATCCATACACTGTCTTATAGGAGTCAAAAATTCCAGGTATTCGCGACGTTCGGCGCAGAATTCGATGTGCTCCGCATTCACCTACTATGCATCCTTAATGCGACGGGTCACTCTAGTCTGTCGCGGTAGAAGTTTAGAAAAGGGATTTGGCTTCACGCACTGAAGAGGATCAGCCTTATGCGCAGCGAATGCTGCAGTCTTCATCAACACCAACGCGACGGTGGTCGCACTATTGTCATCAAAGTTATCGGGTCATTTACATTTGCGAGTTCGATCGTTTCATCGGTAGTAGCTGTCATCGCAAGGAGCGGTCTCCACAAGTTGGCAGTCAGGATATAACCCACGGTAAAACATTGGCAGCAGCGGATCGACGATCTATCAGTATCTCGCAACAAGCACATAAATGCGCACACAAACATTCCATCAGAGGCCAGTAAATGAGTCAAACGATGTCTAACGCTCATTCGGTCCACTACAAACTAGCTGGTATAAGAAATGGAAACATTCGCATAAGGACCTTTAGCTTCAACGTGAAAACAACGCAATGTTGATTCGGATGAAATCAAACAGAACCATCGACGATTATAGAACGCGGGTGGCACCTTCAGTTAAACACTCACCCAAATGTACAGTAGCGATATGCCTTTGCAAATTGTGCCTCCTGGGAAACGAGTTACCACATTGGTTACACACATGGGGGCGTTCTTCTGGAATGGTAAACAAAAGGTGAATAATCAAAAAATGGACCACAGAGGGAATAACTGTGTGCAACCTGTATCGTAGTACACAATGATGATGAAGGAATCATTACAGGGATCTTTGACTGTTAATTTCCAGTTATCTCACAGTGAGGTAGACAAATGAAAAGTAATGTGTTAGTAATCTGTCAGCACGGTATTGCGAAAGAGGTAAAGTGCCAACATCATGTTTTGTCCCCATGATTCCGGGTATAAGGAAGATGGAGGTCTCATGTAACGCTTCCAGCATTCCACAGAAAGTCGCATAGAGGGAACCCCACTGTTGATGTGACCAATCACATACCCTGCATGAATTGCGTTCAGTTAGCTACTATTTTTGTCTCTAAAATCATTCTGGTGATCTACTCTGAGTACATCACTCACTTCTTTCATCCTCACAACCCTGCGAACTAGATAGGCTGCAAATCGTTGGCCAAACGCTCAAAAACGTCAGTTTATGTGACACATACCTACCGCCATGGTTGCAATGCTTTCGGGTGACCAAACATTCCATTAAACTACCTTGCAGTTTTTCATGTGACAAAAACTGGTTCCGCTGCGATGAACGGCCGATTTACTAGGTTTAGCACGATATTCAACTGAGAGGAGTCATGATCCTTTAACGTAGGTACCACTTTTTGTACCAGCCTCGGTCTTCCCGAAGAGTCTCATTTGAATAGTCCTTAAGGGGTCATTACACATAGAAAACTGGTTGAAGCATAGCAATAGATTTGATAAGCTAGACCGGAGTTGGTTGACTCCCAAAAAGTTGCAATGTTCGTTAGCCCAACTGTAATCGATGATGACAGTTGCGTTCACGCGCACACAATGCACAACGGTTGGTCCGTCCGATGGGGTGACGGAGGGTCAACTGAGTCACCGCCTGAGATCGAGGTGCACAGCGCTAACGCCCAACTCACAACGTACATAATCCGAACTGCGTTAGCTTGATTGTAATGACTCCGAAGTCACTGGTAGGTGTGTTCGAATTCCTTCCGAGCAGCGTTCTGGCACGACCTATAAAACGTTGAAAGTGGCTGTGGTCACGAGTTGGGCAAGGTGATCATTAGTAATCTAAACAATCCGTCTGCACAGGTTCTAAGTGCTGTGTTGTACAGTCGCTATGCGGAAAGTCCTAACTCCTGGTGCCAATCACCGACCTCTGCACAGTTCGTAACTGGCATGGCAGTGAAGGATGAGCCGGGACATATCGTAGACAACTGGCAGTCATGCAGGTCCACCGCCGTCTCTCATGGATTAGTGACACATGCTTCGGGCAACCGGAAGTCACGGGGTCGGAAATCGTCAGGGGTCCGAAGAAGGCGAATCACTGACGAAACCCAGAAGGTCAAAACAGCTGTCTGGTGTTTTTCCAGACGTGTCGAAACTTGCTGACTGAGAGGACTGCGCCGAATTACCTTTGAATCTACACCAAAAGTCCCACTAATCATTAGTAATCAAACTAAATTTGCTGATAAGTTTAATAGTGCGTAGCTACAAAGCGGATGAGCAATCTTCTGCTATCCGTTTCACCAAGTCTTGTATGTCAAAGGAACCCTAAACCATCACAGTTACAAGTGAATTGATACACGATTCCGGGTGCACGGAGAGTCAATCCTTGAAAGCTGGGAAATAGACAGGGCACTTTCGGCAACAACATCCTAGCAGGAAGCTAGGGGCCATTGAGTAGCTCGAAGAAGACGTCTCCCTTAAGAGGGACTGAAAAAGGTGCTTTCTACGCAATGTCATGATATATTCTAGTCCGCCGACGGGGACAGAGTGCCTCCGAACGAAACCGTTGGGTTAACCATAATCCTGTAGTGTCTCGAGGATGCAACTATCACAATTCAAAAAGATACGGTACTACAAAGTTGATGGCATGATAAAGCAGGCAAAGGACTAATTCCGTTTGTACTGCAAGAACAGTCACAGCACGCCCTGCTCCCCATGTCCTGAAGACCATTGCTAGGTCACTGTGAGAATTTAACAGTAGAAACAAAAGGGTTTTTCATCTCATCCAAAGTCATACGCGAAGCGGATTTATGCTATCAAGCTGATGGCATATATGAAGTAAATTTGCATCAAACCGCGTTAAACGAAAGTGTATTTCTCGTTGACCATTCAATAGCACTGGCCAAATGTCACTGCATCAGCTCTTTGGTTACTCTGATTACCGATAGCCCCTCATATCCTAGCATCACCAGTGAAAAAGGAGATATACAAAGCGACTATATGCGCGATGCACTTAATGAACACAAGTGATAAGCGCGGTCTCAATGTTGAAAGTTTCGCAAAGTCGTGATCCAATCAATCGATCAAGCAATGAGCACCGAATTCGCATCTGCAGTTGCCGAAGCGAATAAGATTGCCGATCCAGTCAAAAGCCGGATCACCAGTTCGACAGCTCTGTAGAGCATGAGGAAGGATGTGGTGATTCTGACGCTCTAGGTCACCGGAAAAGTCTAGAGAAGCGACGTGGATCTAGACCTCAATATCCGTTCTAGCGACCTAACTACCGCGTGCGAGACCATGTTTGAACGAAGCACGAAAACCACAGTAGTGATGGCAGTAATCAGGTTTGAAAACACCGGAAGGGAGGTCATTAACAGGTAAATGCATTAATGAGTAGCCCTATAAAGCATTAAGCATATCATAATGGATTTGTGCAGACTTGGTTGTGTTAGCTTAGCCGAAAGTTGCGCATACCCTGAGTACGGTCCGTATTCACGTACGTATTCGGGCAAGGCGCTTAGTCCTCGAAAACAGAGAAGGATACGCACACGATCGAGGGGACCAGACGAGTGAGACTTAGACGCATACGAAGCAACCGGCTAAAATGATGAACACGATTACGAGACCACGGGAGTCCCAACCACTCACAAGAGACAAGACAAGATAAAGCGGACCTCAGAGAGTTCTTATACGACACACAAAGGCCGAATCACAGTTGTCAAAATGGTTCATTTTATGGGTAAAAGGAATCACCACGTCGGGCGCGTGGTTTACGAAATGACATTGTTCACTTTAGCCCAGTCGTGTCCCGACTCGGAGTGGCTATCTTGCTACGTTGTGGGGAGGAATTGAGTTCTGCGTGGTGCAGCCCACGAAATGGAGTTTGTGGAGCACTTTGGCGGGGTTACTTGACGTTCTCGCAACACAAATAACAATCTAATCCCACATGGTAGAGGGTTTGTTGTTGATACGTCAACCAATAAAATGCGATCAAGATTCGGCCAACATTGTAAATGTTAACAGCAGCGCCTTCGGGTGAACGCAATCAGCTTCGAGGAACAATGTGTGCGCAGATATAATAGCTCCTTCAACACAGTGAAAGAACCAAATGTAGCACGAGTAAATCCTGTTGGTTGGGAGATCGGTGAATATGCAACGGTTGTCAAGTCGGAAGGGTGAGGCGCACTGCAGTCACAGAGCGCTGCAACACCCCGTTAGTGCTTTGCGACACTCCGCTTGGCTATCAAGTTGCACTAAACAGATGAATTTGTCACACTTGTACAATTGCTCGTCATCAGAAGTACCCCGGCACGCAGTACCCACATTTCGACGCCGCGCAAACAAGAACAGTCGCTGAGCTAGGCAGTTTGACTGCAAACGTTTCCTCACAACCCGAGGTGACATCGTCAGTGCGCGTTTACGTAGCAGAGCTGCGCGGTACGAAGCCGCGTTTGCAGCCAAACTGCCGAGCTCAGCGAAAAATCAGATCATCAACTGAACAACCCGAGCTACCAACATTTGCTTCTATATTACCAACAGTCGCGCTTGGGCTGGATACTGCAAGGGCCACCAGGTCCACAACGACGGCTCGCACCCGCGACCTCAGAATTACAAGGCGGGCTGGTGATATTAGGGGGCAAGGGCCGCCGATAATGAGGAAATCGGAGATATAGAAGGTGCTGGTAAGTTTAACGCAGACCTCTGGCTTGTGATAGCGAGGATAACATTGCGCGACATGTTCACACTCCCCCCAACACTTAGGCAATGTACCCAAAGGCTCATCCCACTTATAGTACCCAATACACCACTCAACGAAATCTAAACTGTACTAATGCGCCATCGCCGGTCCGATCGGTTAAGTTAGCAAACCAAAGCAGATTAAAATGAACCCGTGCACCACTCCATGATGGGCGCCTAAAAGAATACCATCAGTTAGTGGGACAATAGCTGGACCTATGGTTCGCTCTCAGATGCATAAACTAGCCAGTTGGGCGGAACATTTTGAAGACCGGTTCAATGAGTTTAATACCACACTGCTGTTTGCTTACTCACCTGAACCCAAGTATGAAGTTGGTGTCACACGTCCGACTTCGGAAAACATACAACATAAGCTCGCGGTGTTCAAACGAAACAACGCTAATGGACCCGACAACCTCCCTCCTATCTTTTTTGAAAGATGGAGGTGACACTATGTTGACTGCATCTGGAACACCAAAGAAGTGACCTCATACTGGCAACTGTTAACTATGGAGCCCATCTTCAGGAAACGCAAGCGTACTTTATGCGAAAACCATCGAGGCAACAGCCTTCTTCGCATTGAAGTAAACTTCTCACGAGCATCATTCTCCGACGATGAGAGCCGAACAACTGAAAACCAAGCTGCATTCCGTCCTGTTCGAGGTTGTGTCGACTACACAGTTATTCATCGCCAAGTGTTAGAATAGAGACACACTTACATACGATCGACTATGATGGTTTTCCTTGACTTGAGAGCTAACTTCAACTCTGTTGATGGAGTCAGTTTGTGGTACTGCATAACATGTACTGAATATCATGTCAGCTAGATTCCCTTACAGCCGCTTTACCGTGACTAAAGATACAGAGTAAAGACTTACAGGAAATTGTGTCCTGAGTTCCCCATGACAAGTGGGGTGCACCAGGGTTGTCCAAAGTCCCCTTTCCTTCTTACTTCTGATCGAAATGATCATAAATGACTGTGTTTTCAGGCTTTTCCATGA